TCTTGACCCTCCGCCTAGGTCTGGCCATCCAGGGCTTGTTTGGAGGAGACGCTGACCAAACACCTATTCGTTATTCTGTGTATGACAGCTGTTGCTATAATCCTTGCATTCAGAAGGAAGCCGATTGCTAAATCCAGCAACAAGGAACATTCATGATATCCTGACAATACCTCGTGATTTCATTTTGTTACCTCTAATTAACTATAAAGCATTTAATAGACATACATTCTTATTAAAGACCTAATTAATTCCCATGGCACTCATGGGAAGCAAAGAAGAGGTGGGTTGTAATCTTCCCACTTTAAGAGGTGATAATTAAGCCCGGAGCCACACACTGACCATGTGAAGGGCTAGGAGGACAGCGCAGTTCCTGATGGTCGTTCTGCTGGTGGCCTTGACTCATCAGACCCTGATGAGCATCCAGACATAAATGTCCAATTTCAAAACACTTTTTTATAAAAGGGTATTTTGGGAGCAAGAGAAAGAGGGAGGGAGGGGTATAGAGAGAGAGGTGGAGGGAAGGGCAGAGGCAGAGGGAGAGGGAGAATTTCAAGCAGACTCCCTGCTGAGAGCGGAGCCTCATGGGGGGATTCAGTCTCAGAACCCTGAGATCACGACCTTGATGCTTTTATATCAAGCATCAGACGCTTCACCAACTGAGCCACCCAGGCGCCCCTCAAAATCCTTTTTAAATGTACACAGCATATTGTGAAGGGTGGTTGCTAATTAGAGAAGGACGACACAGCAAGGACATTTCCATTTCCAGTTGTTCACCCTTTTTAAACAAAAATGCAGCAACGGAAAAGTAAAAAGGGGAAGAGTATAAATTAAAGTTCAATAAATATTTACTCTGGGCTCCCTGGTGCCAAATCCTGTGCTAGAAACCACGGAAGATGAAATAGAAATATACATCCTCAAGATGTGAGTTCAGATATAAGTTGGAGACTCCAGACTTACCAGTAAGAAACATACAGAGAACTGTAAAACTCATGATATAACTAACATATACGCGTGCCAGAATGTGTGTATATGGGGCTGCATTGTTCTGGAAGGCAAAGAGGTTTTTATGAAAAAGGTAGAATTGGAGAGGAGCATTGAAATGGTAGTAGGACTGGTTCAAGTGGACAGTAGGAATCTGGAAAAGGAGGATTCCATAGACAGAAGGGTGAGTGAATAGAGATAAGGGTCTTTTTTTTTTTTTTTTTAAGAGTTTCTTTATTTGACAGAGAGACACAGCAAGAGTGGAACACAAGCAGGGAGAGAGGGAGAAGCAGGCTTCCCACCGAGCAGGGAACCTGATGCAAGGCTCGATCCCAGGACCCTGGGATCATGACCTGACCCGAAGGCAGATGCATAATGACTGAGCCGCCTAGGTGCCCGAGTTGGGGTCATTCTTGCTACTTTCTGGAAGAGAAATAAACTTAGCAGCTCTCAAATGGTCATTTCCTGTTAGGTGGACAGAAGGCAAAAAAAGCCACAGAGTAAGGAGATAGAGTAAACAAACTCTCAGAAGACAGAAGCAGACTTCCTGAGTTCCTGTTAATACCCCAGCCCCTGGTGCCCTCTCAGACGGAGCTTCAGATGCCCCCTTCGTTTACCCGTGTCTTCGAATAAATTCCAGCTTTTTGTTGACCAACAGCAGACGTAAGCCTTTACGGAGTCCAGGAATCCTTGCAGTGGGCAAAGGAATGAGCACAGAGGGTTGTGGCTTACCAGATCCAAGCCCCAGGGTTAAAACCTTGGAACCAGCTCTGTCGTCTGCAGCTGGCTTTTCTGGCTAGCCTTGGTTGGGAAACCAAATTGTGGGTTGACCAGATGAGTTTAAAGGACTGAGGGAGCCGGTGAGGTCTTGTTGCTTCTCAGGCTTTGTAGCTCCAGATTCTTCCCACTGAAACAAATTGCTGTGGACACACAGAAGGCTCCTTGCTTCTGGAGCACTATTTGACTTTGACTGCAGCTTGGTGAGTCACAGGCGCTCCTTAAGTTCTGCAGGACAGAACCACCATATTCTTCATCAGCTGGGTTACCTTCCAAAGATAGAAGACTCATTCATCTGCAACTAAACCACCCAGGTCAGAATAGTTGTTCTGGCAAATGAACCATTGTCCCCAGTATTTGCTCCTATTAAACATATTTTAATGACAGATTGTGACTTGGAAGCGATTCATTTTTATTTCATAGCTGTCTTGACAATAACGTAATTTATATTTTATGTGCTTGAGATTCCTAAAATTTTACAATCAATGTGTTGCTTATTAAAATTCTGATAAAAAAAACCCACACTGATAAAATTCTTTAGGGTTGGTGGACCAAAGAAAAAATTGTTTTTATTAAAACTTTTTTCTTTTTTGGTCACAAACAGTAGTTACTTAAGGACCATTAACTCAATTTAATTTCAGGGAGAGCCAACTCAAGTCTCTTCTAGTCACTTCACCCAGAATTTCCTTGTATTGCCTTTGCAATTTCTTCTTAGATTTTTAAGTTATAACTTTCTCTCTGAATTATTTTATCAAAATGGAATAAAGTGGAAATAGTTTTATATCTTGCTTTTCCCCATGTCTTACATAGTCTTAAAATTACTCATGGAAACAATTTAGAAAGCTTTTTATTATGAAAAACTTCATGCAGAACATTAAGGGAAAAAATTACAATGAGCACTCTAGAAGAACCGCTTACAATCAAGCACTTTTTTTTTTTTTTAAGATTTTATTTATTTGACAGAAATCACAAGTAGGCAGAGAGGCAGGCGGGCGGGGGGGGGGGGAAGCAGGCTCCCTGCTGAGCAGAGAGCCCCGTGTGGGGCTCGATCCCAGGACCCTGGTGACCTGAGCCAAAGGCAGAGGCTTAACCCACTGAGCCACCCAGGCACCCCAATCAGGCACTGTAAATATTTTGCAAAACTTAAGTTTACCTTTACGTTTTTGGGGGTGGGGGGATATTTTAAAGACTCCTAGACACCGTCTACACCAGATGCTTACTTGAACCGTCTTTTTTTTTTTTTTTTTCCTGGAAGTCCAAAGTTTAAAGGACACTCCTGCATAAATAGCACCTCTGAGAAACGAGCCAGCAGTTTCCTGGCATTCCTTTAGTCTGAAAAAATTGATATAACAAGAAGGCAAGGCCTCTTTTCCACCTTAGGTGCAAACTGACGAAAATACCGGTAGGGCTACTATGACTCACTGAGTTGCCCTCGGTAGACACTCAAAGGCTGCAGTTTAACGGACTTTGAGCTGTTCTTTTCAAGCCGCACGTGACAACTGCACTTTCTTAGCCTCCCAGAGACCAGCGGGGCAGTGGTGGAGGGGTGCAGGAACGCTGCGGTGGGGGCGCACTGGGGGACGCGGCCTCGGTGCACATCCCCGACCCCCCGCGGGTTTGCAGGGTGCGATTTCAACACCTCCTCTGTAACGCGCGGCGCCTCCGGCTGGGTTGACAAAAAGCCCTGAAAGGTCGGCCAGAAGCACCTGGAGGGCGTGTTTCTGGGACGGCGGGGCCCCAGCCGTAGACTCGGCTCGGCCGGCCCGGAATCTCGCACCGCTAACAGACTCTTGGGGTGGTGGGGGCTGCCCGCGGCCCCCAGGAGCCCCGCGTCCCCGCTCGCTCCGAGGTTCGTCGTCCGGACTGTCTAGCAGCCGCGGCCTCGCTGCAGACGCTGCTGCCAGCGCCGCCAGCGCCGCCAGCCCCTCCGCAGGCCGCGGGGGAGCTCGGCGGGGCCGCTGGGGAAGTGGGGTCGCCGCCGCGCGGAGGCGGACCCCTGCCCCAACTCCCGCCGCTGGGAAAGGCAGAGGCAGTGCGCCCCCGCAGTCCTGCTCTCAGTGTTCCGCCGCCGCGCAGCGGTTCCGCGGCCCCCATGGGGCGGAGGCAGGTGCGGAGCTGTGGCCGCGAAGGGCGTGCGGGGAGACGGCATTGGGCGCGCGCCCCGGGCCCGCCGGCCAGAAGATGGCTGCCCCGAGCGCCGCGGACAGTCACGTGCCCGGGCGCCGCCGCGCGCCCCCTCCCGCGCTGGCCCAGTCTCCGACCCCGGGACAGGCGCAGTCTCGGACGCCTGTTCACCACGGGGCTACCGCGAGGTCTGGCCGGCGGCAGGGGACCCCGCGCCGAAGGCCACCTCTCCCCGCTGCCCACCCCTAGGCTGGGCTCTGAGGTCGGACTCCCGGAGCCGGGGAAACCATCCTGGGGGCGACCTGCACCAGGTCGTGTTACTGGGCATGCGCAGTGCTCCCGTCCCAGGGCGAACGGTCTCCGGGTTTTCCCGGCCACTCGGAGCGACGGCCGGAGGTGGGGCCGGGGAGGGGCGGTGCGGCCCTGGTTTCTCCGGTCCCCGCCCAGCCCGGGGCTAGGGCTCGGCTAGGGTCCCCCGCAGACGGCCTGATTGCTTGGGGGTGGGAGTCTGCACAGATAGAGTCAGCCAGGAGCTCACCCCAGTGTCGCAGTGCTCAGGGTCGCAAACTGTTCCCCCGAGCCCGCCTCCAGGAGGCCGAGTTTGCGCTCCCAGTTCCGACCAGCTCCGGCTCCGCCCCCAGCCGCACGCCGCCAGACCGTAAACCTGGGCTGCCTGCCCGTCTCAGTGAGCGGCCCCCCCCCAGCCAAGATCCGCAGCCGGGCCCTTCTCCGAGCCCCGGGCTCCTTGAAAGCAAAGTAGGGGCTAATTCGCGCTGCCCCTCGGTGGCGCAGCCTGTGCCCGGGTCCCGTCGGGCCCGGCCCGAGGCTCCCGCCGACCCCGCCCGCCCGGCCCGCCTTCCCTTCCCGGGCGCCGCGAACACCCGGAGGAGCGGATTCGCTGCGCGCGGAGAGCCGGGCCGGGGCGGGCCGCGGACTGGGCATGCTCGGCAGCCCCAAGGCTCGCGGTGGCAAGTCGGAAGCGTTCGCACCAGCGAGGCAGCGACCGGCCAGCGGCGGCCGCGGGCAGGACGGAGCGGGTGGAGCGGGCAGGGCGGGCCGGGAGGGGCAGTCGTCTCCCTCGCGCACGGCGAGCCAGCGGGAGAGCGCGATCCCGCTGCGGAGCCCGGACGCTGCCCTGCCCCGGATTTCAGTGCGCGGCGGGGGGCTCGGCGAGCGGAATTCCGGCGGCGGCCGCGACTCCCGTGCAAGTGAGCCTTGGGGCCCTGGGGTGGGGGTGGAGAGCGTCCATCCCGGGGGGCCCATCGGACGCGGGGAGCGGCGTGCGGGCGGCCCGGGGGCGAGGGGGCGTGAGCGCAGCCCGCGCGGAGCCGCGCGCGTACCTGGCGGGCACTCCCCCCGCGCGGCTGCTCCCGGGGGTGGGCGCGGGGCTCGGAGGGGCGGGCCGCTCGCGGGGCTCGGGAACCTGGTCTGGGCTGTGAGGAAGGCGGGGGCGTCCGTGGGCGCCTCTCGGAGGTGCTGCGTGCGGGCTGCAAGGTTGCCTAGTGCGGGATTGGGGAGAGCGGAGGGTGGCGGGGCGGAGGAGCGGGGGGGGGGGGGGAGTTGCCGAGGCGCCTCGGCGGGTGGCCCGGCCGGGGTCCGGAGACCCGCTGGGGCCGATACCAAATCACGGCCCCACCCCCCACGGCCCTGGCGGCGGCGTGACAGTTGGCACCTCCGGGCAGATCGCAGCCGACCGGCCGCCCAGGGTTTCGGGCGGTTTCGGCCCCGCCCCCACCCTCTCCGCGGCCCCTCGGCACCTCCGCTACAGTATAACAGGTGGGACCCCTCTCCTGCGGAGCAAGCTGCCCTCCCCAGGCCGCAGAACAGTCTGCAGATTCGGGGGCGGCCCCCGCCGGAGGAGCAGCGGGAGTGGGCAAGGCCTGGAGGAGCCATCGGCGCAGCCGGGACTGGACAGTGTCTCCAGGACGCGGCCGTCCCCGCGAGTGAGGGGTCCTGCGATCCCGAGGCGACTTGTCAAGGGCAGAGCGGCGGCGGTAGCGGCCGTCTCCCCGCACCGTGTCCGCTCCGAGCGGGGCTTGCGGCTGCCGGGGGGCCGAGGAGGGCGTCCTGGTCCAGCCAACGGATTCGGGCTGGCGCGTTCTGGCCAACGCCTGTTTCTTTACTGGGAGTCGCGAGTAGAAATCCTGGCCGGAGGGAGTGGAAGGGATCCCTGCAGGTGCAGCTCGGATGTTTCTTTTCACCTTCAGGCAGCACAGACTTCATTCGGAGGCACCCGCTTATGAAACCCAGAGCGAAGCCTGCTTTGTGAAAGGGAAGTTCATTTTCCGCGTTAGGGGTCTGGCTGCTATTTTAGCTCCTTAGGCATTTACCTTCCTGGACCTTTCAAGCTGTTGGGACAGGTGACTCTGCTGTCGGACTAGGGGGTGTTTCTGGTTGGCTGCCTGGCTGTGGAGTGGTAGGCGCCTGTCACCGTGCACCGGGGAGCCCCCCACGCGTCCTGGTCCCGAGGCTTGAACAGGCAGGGAGGACTGAGTGGGCAGAAAGAGAGGAGTGGGACTGGTGACGAAGCAACTCGGGGGGAGTTGCCAGGGGCCGCCCCAACACCCGGGTGGTTGGCATCGGTTTGGGCCTGTGTGGAAGGGGCTGGGGCTGGGCGTTTCTTGGTTGGGGTGTAGGAAATCCACTGGAGAAGCCAGGCAAAGGATGGGTCCCTGCCTGGTCAGTGCTCCAGGGGAAGCCCCGGGATGTTTGGTGATTCAGCAGGTGGCAGCCTTCCAGCTCTGAAGCCATCCATGCCTTGGCCCGACCAGCAAGCCTGCCAGCAGCGGCTTATGCCTCCTATTGGAGACTCCAGCTTGGAGGGAACCTCCGGAAGCTGTCTTCTGCCTGTTTCAGCTCCCTTGCCTTGTCTTGCTGTTTGTTTGGGTCTGGAGGCCCTGATCTTTTGGTTTTCTTCACTGTTTCTCTTCAGCCAGGAGGCATGTTTTTGACTCTTGCCAGCTCTGTGACCTGCCGAGTTACCACTGCCCCCGTGCACAGCTGAAAATGTAGTGAGTTATTAGGCAGCAAATGATAGTGATCTGGAAAGCCGGGAAAGCTTTTCCTTTGGTTCTGCTTCGGAGACTGGAAATTTACATTTTTAATGAAGTAGTAAGATGTGTTTCTATAACTCTTCAGTGCTGGTAGTAAGCTGTTTAAGATATCAGACGCCATTTTTTTAAAAGAAATTAATTTAAGGGATGGATTAAATGAACATGAAAGGGACACAGTTACTATGACAGTATCTTTCTCCTTGGAGGCTCTCAAGCATCTCGCACAGGGCCTGCCTTGTAGGTGCTCAAGAAATGCTTACTCAGCTGAAATAAAAACAAACAAACCAGAATTTGGTCATTAAGTGTGGCACTTAGAGAACTTTATTTTCCTGAGTCTGTGTGGACCACAGACATTCAATTTTCACTTCAAAACTCAATCGTTTTACTACCCGCCCCCCTAGGTAAGTCCCTTAATTTTCAAATTGTGGCAGATCCTGTATTCTCTGGAAAGGAAAAACGGTATGCTTTGCTCATGTATCTCATGAAAATCTGAAGGACTCCTCCATAGAGCTGTTGTATGTTTTTTAAAAAACTGAAACATACTCCTGCTGCACATCAGATACACTTCTGTGAAACTTACTACTTTATACAAAGCATTTCAGGAAGGTTGAATGCCTCAGCCTTTCCGGGCTGGTGGGCCGCTGTGGAACTGCATTTGGGGAACGAGAGTCCGGGATCGTTCGCCTGGCATAAGTTCCTTGTTCTTTGGGTGGATGTGTGAGTGTTGGACCCGCTCAGGCTTCTGCAGCCGTTTAACTTTGTTCTGCTCCTTCCTCCAGTTGTTCATCTGCTGCTGCTTCCCCTAAAGCCGTCCTTGCCGGGGGCGGGGGGGGGGGCTTGTTGCTTAGAGCTGCTGCCAGAAGGATCTCTTGCGTTGTCTCACATGAGTTCCATCAGTGGTGGTTTTTCTCTTCTGATTGTCCCCTACGCTGTGGCAGCCACTCTGTGAGTTGAACTGTTCTCTGGGCCTTGGGAAAAGCTCTGTCCAGTGTGCCCCTGAGGGGATATGACAGGTGATAGATGGCTTTTTCTTTGGCCTTTTTTCTTGAATGGAGCTAGAACCAGGCCCATTTTGGAATGCTTGGTGTTAAAGGCTTCGGCCTTTCTGTTACAGGCCCTTGGTCAGAGATACCAATGGTCAGTTATTGTCTCCGACCACATTCTGAGAGTCGTGGCCATAAAGTCTCTCACTTGATAAGCTCATCCTGTCCCAGTTGACGGGCCTCTCTGGATTTGGGAGCTGGGAAGCAGGGTGGGATGTGGGGGAGGGGAGGGTGAAGAAAGGGGAAGAGAAGGCTTGTGGGCCAGGAGGAGGGGTTGGTTTTGTCGCTGACTTCTGGTTTCACTGAAACAGAAGTGAGTGCTGGCCAGCAGCATGGCTGAGTCTCTCCCCTCCAGAGGTTTTTTTTAATCTCCACAAATAAACTACTCCCTGCTTCCCTCAACAGAGAGACACACAGATACAGAGAGACATGCACACTGAGAAGACACACAGGTGTGGACACACACACCCTTTGCAGAACACCTAGAATCTCAGCTTTTTCATGTGCTAACGAGCAAGAGGGAAACTCCAGGACTCAGGGGCAGGTTGGGTTCTGGGGTCTAAGTTCACCCGAGCTTGTCCATCAGAAAGATACCCCCCTCTCTCTGAGTGCTAAAGGGATCTGTCCCTATAGCCATTGTGGAAACGGCTGGGGGCTTCCACTGTGTGCAGAGGCAGGCGAGGGGGCACCCAGAGCTGATCTTGTGGCTTTTACCTTTCGGACATCGAGGTGCTGGGACTCGGCATCCGTCGGTTGTTGGCAGAAGACCTTCTCCTGTGCAAAGCCCTTTTCTTGTCTGACATTTCCCCTACATTCTACTGCCATTCCTCTCCCCGCCCGAGGAGCCTCCTCTCCTGGCTTGGATATATTCTTAGATATGTCTGTGTGCTCATTAAAGATGTTATTTTGTGCGTGTCTGTAGTTTATGTAAGTGGTCCCGTGCTTTAGGTTTCACTGGGTTCCTCTTTCATTCAACAGTAAACCTTTTTGTTGTGAAAATCTTCAGACATTCATGAAAGTGGGAAGAATTTCATTCAAGACTCTGTGAGGTCTGTGTACCTGTGGGCTCATCGGGTGCTTTGCAGTGCCTCTTCTAGTTTTATTACCCATTTCCCTGGCGAGGGACACTGAGCTCACCTCCCCTCCGTGATGTGGTGCACATCGTGTGTACGTTCTTTCCAGGGTGGACCTGAGGTGGTCTCTAGGGTCGTGGTTCTGCAAGTGGCCGCACCCAGGAGCAGCGGCAGCACCTGACCCTGCTGGAAATGCACATTCTGGGGCCCCGGCCTATATCCCAGTGAGAAACCCTAGGGGCACACCCCCACCAGCTGGTGTTGTAGAATGCCGGGTCTGGAGACTGCAATGCTTGGGACAGTGTGAGACCCGCTTTCGCAAGGGCGCATGCCCGGGGGCGGAGTGGCTGGATGAAAGGGAGTGAGCTTACCCGTTTTTCCTAAATGCTGCCAGATTGTTCTCCGCGTGGGTGCATGAGGGTTCCTGATCCCCCACATCCTCGATAGTGGCTGGTATGAGGCCTCTTTCTAATCTTACCCGAATTGCTGGCGAGGGTGAGGGATCTTCTCGTTTTCCTGGGAGCTTGTATTGTGTCTTAGTGAATTTGAGCATCTTTTAATATGTTTGCTAGCTGTTAGAGTTCCTTACCCGCCGTATGTAGTCCGTTTCTCTGCTGTGCTGGTTTGCAGGTGCTTCTTGCATATTCTAGAGTGTAATTCCCTCCTACTGTAGGTATGTCAACCTTGTCAGTGGTCACTCTCCAGAATTTTTGTTTCGATAGAGCCTCATTACCTGTTGCCTTATGTGGCGCTGCAGGGGCCTGAAGGTGTTCTTCTGGCCCTGGGCTTACCCGGGTGTTCCCTGCTTTTGTTCCCACGGGAAGGGCTTTGCTATGTGTGGTTCATCGTCACCCATGGCCTCAAGCAGGGATCCAGGGCCCTGGTCCTCCTTTCCATTTTGTTATCCAGTTTTTCCTACATCATTAAATCTTGTATTTTTTCCTTAATATTTCGGGGGAGACTGTGGAGCCACTTCTGTCATACTTGAGGTTTCCCCATGCGCACACAAGCCTCTTTTTAAAAAATTGATTAAAGTATA